GGGAATAATCAATTCGAGCCGCAATGCTTCTTCGTAGTTAGCTTCAAAAATTAACAGACAGTTATATGCGAAAAGCAAATGACAAATTTTAGGAGCACCCGTGCAACTGTTACTCCATGCAGACGCCCTGGTCTCTCATGATTTCTCAACAAGGCACTCAAACCTTCTGCAACCAAAATAAACAAATAAGGAGATAACAGCCCCCCTGCCTCAATCCTCGCCTGGGAATAATTGGTCCCAACTCGGTATCATCAACAGGAATTGAGTAGGATACCGAAGAAACACACTCCATTATCAACTGTACCCACCGAGTATCAAATCCCAAATGAATCAACATTCCTTCCAAAAAAGGCCATTCGGCTCTATCATAGATCTTGCTCATGTCCATCTTAAGGCTAACAAAACCGGTTTTGCCCTGAGTTTTTCTTTTAAAAAAATGCCGAGTCTCGAAAGCAATCATGATGTTACCTATTATGGATCTACCCGGAATAAAAGCACTCTGTTGCTCAGAAATATATAAATTAAGAACAGCTTTCATCCTGTTGGCTTGAACTTTCGAAAAGATTTTATAAATAACATTGCAAAGTGCTATGGGCCGCCAGTCTCCGATAATCTCTGGATTATCCTTCTTGGGGATTAAAACAATATTACTACGATTAATTTTATCCGGGAGCTTACCTGACCGAAAAGCCTCATAACAAAATTTGACAACATCAGGACCCATAACGTCCCAATAATGCTGAAAAAATCTCGGACTCAGACCATCCGGACCAGGGGATTTATCTGGGAACATGTCAAAGACTTACTGCCTATACCTCCCCCCCTAATAGGTCTCGGCAAATTAATGTTGTGAAAATCCTGCACCTTTCTGGGTACACAATGGAAAATAAAATTGCCCGTATTATGCACAAAAGAAAAAATATTAGCAAAATAATCACCAATCAGGCGCCCAACTTCCACCCTATCAGTCTCCCACTCTCCATTCTCCAATTGGAATCCTTCCACCCTATTTTTACGCCTCATGTGTTTCACTGAATTATGGAAGAACTGAAATTAAGATCACCCCCTCTGAACCAATATTCCTTTTCCCTTTGCCGGCCTCCAAAATAAATTATCCTTCTCCAATAGGTCAAGATACTTCCGCTTCACCTTTTCAGAAATACGCAGATGTCAATCATCCGAAAAACTTCATAAATATTCCAACCTTTTCCTACAAAAGTAAATCCTTTTGACCAAAGAACCTGCTGGCGTGTGACCCCATTCCTTAACTGATTTATAGCAAATAGCAATTTGCCCCATGATGCCAAAAATAGCTCCCCAACACCAGCTGTTGGGCTGCGGGTATGCGGTGTCAGCAATATGCTAGCCTGCCGGTGCAATCGAACCATGTGGCGCTTCGCATGTGCTATAAATGGGGAGGAGCATGCTACACTATCAGCGATTTTTAGTGTAGCGGTAAGCGCAACGATCCACAATTGGTATCAGAGCCAAGGTCACGGGTTCGACCCCCGACAGCAGCATGCTGCGCAGTTGAGGCTGGTAGGTGCTGGGGGGAGATTGTTGGGCCGCGGATATGCGGTGTCAGCAATATGCCAACCTGCCGGTGCAATCAAACCGTGTGGCGCTTTGCATGTGTTATAAATGGGGAGGAGCGTGCTACACTATCAATGATTGCTTTCAGTGTAGCGGTAAGTACAACGATCCACAATTGGTATCAGAGCCAAGGTCCCGGGTTCGACCCCCGGTAACAGCATGTTGCGCAGTTGAGGCTGGCAAGTGCTGGGGGGGAGATTGTTCGGCCGCGGGTATGCGGTGTCAGCAATATGCCAGTCTACCGGTGTAATCGAACCACGTGGCGCTTCGCATGTGCTATAGATGGAGAGGAGCGTGCTACATTATCAGCAATTGCTTTTAGTGTAGCGGTAAGCGCAACGATCCACAAATCCTCTTTCAATTCTTCTAGGAGGCAGATGTTCTGCGAGTTATCTCTGATGGTCCATGGTCTTATGAGAATAACTTGTTAGTGTTGCATAGACTTGGCGGAGATGAGGATCCTATAAACGTCCCACTTGAGACTGAAACTTTCTGGGTGTAAATTTACAAGCTTCCAATGCGGTATTTTACAGAGAAAACAACCCTATTGATTGGCAATCACTTGGGAATCTTTGTGCAGTCTGACCCGAATAATTTTACCGAAGGATGGAAGTAGTTTATGTGCATCACGGTCAATATACTGGTTGATAAACTGTTGAGAGGTCGGTTGAACCTTAAACGGGAGGTGAAAACTGTGGAAGTGGAGATAAAGTACGAGAGGCTGCCATATTTTTGTTTCATATGTGGTTTGATGAATCACACTGACAGGTTATGTCCGAGGCGTTTTGATAACACATGAGAGGAAAACCAGAGGCACTTAATTGGGTAGTTGGTTGTGGGCGGGAAGTCGGAGAGGACGAGGGGGTTGAAACAGATGGTTGGTGGATGGCACTGGTATGCCTTTAGCTAGTGTTCGGCCTGGCAGTGTGGTGGGGGTGTGGGAGGGAAAACTGAAGGGTGGTCTGGTGATGTAGGGGAGGAAGATGCAGTGGACATATCAAATGCTACTAGAGGATTCGAGGATTTGGAACTAGCTCTTTGAATTCTACTACGGAATACACTGAGGCAAAAAACGGGGAAGCGGTGGGACCTGAGAGTCAGGCCCGCCAAGATCAATGAGCTGTTTAAGTTGGAACTATCGTGGGCTCAACAATCCTGCGACAGTTCAAGCATTTGTGAACTTGATTCACTTAAAGAAGTCGGGTTTCGTTTTTTTAATGAAGACTTTTACTAATAAATTTAGAGTGGAGGATGTGATGAGGAAAGTCAGTTTGCATTTTTGTTATGTTGTTGACTGTGATGGTCATAGGGGCGGGCTAGCATTATTATGGAGGGAAGGAATACAAGTTCATGTTCGAGACTAATCCTCTCATCATATTGATGCCAATATTCAGTTGGAGCCCGAGGATCTAGTGTGGCATTTCACAGGTTTTTATGGTTGCTCTGAGCGGAGCAGACAGAGAGAGTCATGGGATCGGCTAACATCCCTAAATACGGAACCTCATCTTCCCTTGATAGTGATGGGTGACTTTAATGACCTCATGGTTCCTTTTGATAAACGAGGTCGTATCCCTCATCCACCTTGGCTTTTAAGAGGTTTTCGGGAAACGGTGTGGGCGTATGGTTTGCAAAATTTTCCTTTTCAAGGATATTCGTATACTTGGGAGAGCTAGCGGTATTCTCCGAATTGGGTTGAGGAGAAGTTGGACAAAATCTTTGTTTAAGAAGGCTTGCTGGATATCTTTGGCGAGGCAATAACAGAATCTTTGGAGGCCCCCCTAGCGATCACTTAGCTTTATTTATTTAGCTAATTCCTTCCCGAAGTTTTCATAGACGCAATTGATTCAAGTTTTAGAACTTCTAGCTTCTGGACAAAGATTGTCGTTCGGTAGTAGCTTGAAGTTGGTGTTGGGCCGCAGGTATGCGGTGTCGGCAATATGTCAGCCTGCCGGTGCAATCGAACCGCGTGGCGCTTCGCATGTGCTATAAATTGGGAGGAGCGTGCTACACTATCAACGATTGCTTTTAGTGTAGCGGTAAGCGCAACGATCCACAATTGGTATCAGATCCAAGGTCACGAGTTCGACCCCCGGCAACAGCATGCTGCACAGTTGAGGCAGGCAGGTGCTGGGGGGGATTGTTGGTCCCCAGGTATACGGTGTTAGCAATATGCCAGCCTGCCGGTGCAATCAAACCGCGTGGCGCTTCACATGTGCTATAAATGGGGAGGAGCGTGCTACACTATCAGCGATTGGTTTTAGTGTAGCAGTAAGCGCAACGATCCACAAAAAAGCACTCAAAAGAGTTGCACGAAGAGCAAATTCGGCACAAACCCCAGACTCCTAGGGAAAAAGACGTTCTTTTTTTTAAGTAATCAACTATATTTGTTTCAAGTTTTTATTCTTAGGCCCAACTATGAGGGGGTATTTATTAATAATAAATTCTACCTCAAGTTTTTTTTTTGTTTACAACATATGTTTCGGCACAAAAAAATAGTTTTAAGTGATAAAGTAGGTTAGAGAATGTAATTAAAGATGAAATCTAAGTGTATTTAAGTATATTTTGATAGGAACTTTTAATAAATTGGAATTGTTGCAAGATTAATATACATTTTAAAAATTCCGGAGAGAGTATTGATATTACTATTAATATTGATATTGATTTCTTATTACTTTCATAATTGTTTTTAAGGAGGGAAAAATATTGGATCAATTTGAGTGTAGATCAGTATAATATTAAATATTAGTCACTCCTATTATCACCATAATAGGAATAAATGGGCGAGTCTACCATCAAGATAATATATATTAAACTCATTAGATTATTATTGTTGTTGTTGTTGTTGTTACCACTACTAGTCCTACTATTACTATTATTACTACTATTATTACTATTACTCTTTATTATTGTTATCATTGTCATTATCGTCGTCATCATCATCAAATTCCTAACTATTTCATAGTATTCATACTAATTAATATATTTTATAATATAGCAAATCATGTTCAATCCTATTCCATCAGGAATAATCTGGTTTTTAACCGATTTATGTTCGGTCACGATTTTTACAATCCTATATCTCGATTTGAACTGGTTTTTACACACCCCTACTCATGATAGCATTATTATTGAAATGAAATGTTTAAATAAATTTTTTCGCCACTTAAATATGACATTTTTATTTTCGATTTCTACCATTTTTCTACACCACCTTTTTTTGGTCATCCTATTACAAGAACTTTCTTAAATAGGAGTGTGTGAACCTATTTGAGGAAGAAAATAATAAAACTTCTATTTGAGAAAATTTTCATTGAAATTTATTGTATCTTAGAGTAATTCAAGAAGCTTTATTCTTGGTACGGTCCAATGGTCCATCGCATGGTATTATTTGCGTGAGATCGATGATCCAAGCATACTGCGCCCACGGCCCATCTCGTTTTACAGCTCTGGGCCAACGAAGCCTAATTGTCCATAACGCATTATAAAAACTCTTGCGCCTCATGAGATGTAGGGTTAGGGTTTTATATAGTTGCTGCGTCTCATCATCTCCATCGTCTCAGACCCTCTGCCGGAGTTGCTGTCGTATTCTATCGGCAATCATGGGGTATGCATTCATCACAGCTCTACTATTGTTTGCAATTATGATACAACTTATTAATCGACATGGATTTCAAGTCGCTATGTTTACTTTCCTGCGTTCTAATATCGTTTAAACGGGTACTCTATGAATGTGTCTGACTAGATCGGATTATATGTGCTTTGGCGATGTAGAGGCTTGATGAAGTAATGTAGAGAATCTGCTGAACACATTTATGTTAGGAATATCAACGCGCTAAACTAAGCTCATTTTAATTTAAATAAGACATGGTATCACATGATAAGAGCAGAACCTCTTTCTCAAGAACCAATTTTTCCTGTCTGATGCTTCATTTTTGTGCTATGCCTATCTAATATCATAACTGTATCTTATATTACCGGACTAGCGTTTACTTTATTGCAATCAAATGATATATATCCGCTCCCCCAGAGTATCATACATAAGTTATGCCATCTCTTTTTTGGTAATGTAAATTATTTCAAAAGCATAAACTTTAATTATTTGTTCATCTCAACAAATTTTTCGTGTTTATCTGTTTTACTCTTTTGGTGTAAATGCGTACTCCTTGATAAATAGCAGGTTTTCATTTTTTGAACAAAACATTGTTTGAACTTTGGAGGCATACAATTTATTGTCTTCAAATTCTATAGACCAACATTTGCTTGCAATTTGCAAGGCGTTAGAAAATGGTTAATGTAACATAACACGTGATGTTGTAAATAATTGAGATACCTAATCTGCAGGATTAGGAAATAACTGGAGTTCTAGGTCGGGATTTGTTAGTAGGTGGAGTATAAATGTGTTAGACTGCCCAAGGGTTGGGGAAAAACTTTATACAGGCATCTAGAGGAATAATGTTTAGTGGATGGATGTATAGACTATTGTAAAACTATTGTTTGACATATTTTCTATGATGTCCCAGGAAGACACGAGGTATGGGAGCTGCTCGCAAGTTGAAGACCCACCGCAGGAATCAAAGGTGGGCTGACAAGGCGTACAAGAAGTCTCATCTTGGGAATGAATGGAAGAAACCATTTGCTGGCTCATCCCATGCTAAAGGCATTGTCCTTGAAAAGATGTATAATCCACTTATCTCATTGGGAATAAATTAGTTCTCTCATTGTTGAATTACGAATCTGATTATTGAAATTCCCTTTCTTGTCATGTTCAGTGGTATTGAAGCCAAACAGCCAAACTCTGCTATTCGAAAGTGTGCCAGGGTTCAACTTATTAAGAATGGGAAGAAGATTGCTGCTTTCGTTCCGAATGATGGTTGCTTGAACTACATTGAAGAAAACGTAAGCTAATTTCCCTTTGTGTAGAATTGTGCATGAGTAGAGATTCTTAATTTTTTCACTGTTGCAGGATGAGGTGTTGATTGCTGGATTTGGTAGAAAGGGTCATGCCGTCGGAGATATTCCTGGGGTCAGGTTTAAGGTTGTGAAGGTTTCAGGTGTCTCCCTTTTGGCCTTGTTCAAGGAGAAGAAGGAAAAGCCAAGATCTTAATTTTGTGAACCCTCCTTCGGCCATATTATGTTATGTTGTTAAATAGATTGGAACTAGTTTTGCTTTGTTGTTTCCTTGTTATGGATGTGCTTTCATATTTCCTTCACTGTTAACGAATTTTGTCATCTCTTCTAATTTAAGAAATTGAGGTTGAACCATGTCTTGAAGTTATCTCATTTTATGTTATGGAGTTTATTTAATGGCAATCCTTTGCTTAATTCATAAGAACGGGGGTTGTGCACAGGTTTGGTTTGATCTAATTTAGTCCTAGACCCGGGCCGGTCGGGCCTCGGGTTTTTTGGAGGAGGCCCCGTATCGGCCCGGGTAGCCACTGGGTCTGGTCCGGGTTTGGGCCGTGCTGGGCCTCGGGTCAATTTTTTTTTCATTTCCTAATTAACCCCCTACCCCCAATCACCCCAAATGGCCCAAAATACTCAGCCCAACCCGAAAATATAAAAAAATTGAAAAAAAAAATTAAAAAGCCTGGATACGGGCTTGAACCGGCCGGTTTGGCTTTTGGGTGACCCGAGCCCGCACCAGAACCCCCCGGACTGGGCCTACTCGGACCGGTCATTGGTAGGGGCCACTGGGCCGGGCCGGTTCAGCACAGTATCGGTCCCGGGCTGCTTTTGGGTCTGGCCACCCGGCCCGAGTCCAAGACTAATCTAATTGAATCAAATTGAAAATTGGTACTTTAGTTTGCTTTGAGTTTGTCAGGAAACTGTTTGGTATTACTTTGTTCAAATCGAGTGGTTTAATTTGATTTGGTTTTATACTAGAAAGATTGTAAACTGAAAATTGAACAATTTGTATTATTTATAAAAATAAAAATACTTTGTATGTCTCCACTCAAAGTATTACATTTTACGCCAAGGTTGTTAAAATCTCGATTTAAATTGTAAAATCGTACGATTTTACGATTCGATTTTGAAAAATAAAAATACTTTGTATGTCTCCACTCAAAGAACAATATTTTTTTTAAAAAAAAATAATTTTCATCTCATTTCAAATTTTCAAAATCTAATTTTTAATTTTCTTTTACTAATAGAGATTAAGATATATTATCCTCCGTTTGTTTTTAATCGCAACATGTTGAGTTTTACACTATTCACATGTTCTACTTTGACTAAATTTTACGCTATTATTTTATGAAAATTATTTTTTTAAAAGATATTGTTCAATTCATCGCATTACAAAGTTTCAAAATCCGATTTTTAAATTTTTTTTACCGATGGAGATTAAAATATAATAACGGTCAAAGACGTGCGTTGGCAAATATGAAATGTTGACCGTTGCAACTAAAAAGAACGAAGTAATTACGGTCAAAGACGTGCTTTGGCAAGTATGAAATGTTGATCGTTGCAACTCAAAAAGAAAGGAGAAAGTAATTAAGATGTGAATAATATGACAAAGCTATGTTAACTAATAAAATATACTTTTAGATGTTATACTACGTATATTTTACTCGACCAATTTGAAAATATGTTTGATGATGATAATAAATTTAATTTATATTCATTTCAGTTAAATTAGAGGAAATTATACATTTTATATGAATGTATATGAGATAATTTAAATGTTAATCAACTAAAAAATTACTTTTGTGAGCGATAAATCTTTTTTATAGTGAATGAAAAGATGTTAGACGTGAGTGTTAGTAAGATAATAGGTGTTAATTTATGAAATTTTATTATTTCGTTTTTATCTTTTATTGTCATTTATGTTATATATAAATATAAATAATAGAAACAAGAAGATAGATGAAGTACTATTTTTATTTTCTAATTCTAAAGTATAGAACTTGATCAAATAAAAAACGAACATATAAAGATGAATCAAACTGAACTATATTGAAACCAAATATATTTCACTTTGATAAGCCAAACTTGAAACTAAATTGATGCCAAACTAAAAAACAAATGATTTTAGTTTGAAACAATATCTCTCAAACCGAATAAACCAAAACCGAACCGAAATCAATGAAAATCAAACAATAAATCGAATTGCTCACTCCTGCCAAGAACCGTTGACCGGTGCTTTATATTTGGTTAAAGGGTTTCTGGAAAAACGGTAAGGAACATAAACTCTAGTCATATTAGTCGATCCAAAAGGTGGAATCTCCCATCCCCGGAGCCCCCCACGCCCCGACCCGACAAGACACATGGGAGGATGTGAATCACACGGTGACTCAATCAACGGAATGACAGTAGGCCCATATACTCGTGCGCGCCAGAGGTCCAGCCCATTTAAGAAACTGTAACCTCCACCCGATCGCTGCGGGATTCGAACCTTGATGCTTCGATCCAAATTTCACACCACTCAACCAACTGAGCTACCCGTGCGGGAACTCTCATCATATTAGTAGGGGATATTATCCGAAATAGGACTAAAAAGGTTTGAAAATTCGAAAATAGGATTGACATGTTTTTATTCCCAAAATAGGACTAATCACTGTCATGTTTTGGCAGTACCAGACTTCAAACATGACAGTATTTTCCAAACTTGGCAGTAATTACTCCTATTTTCGGAATAAAAAACATGTCAGTCCTATTTTAGAATTTTCAAACTGTTTTAGTCCTATTTCGGGAACTTTCCCTATTAGTAATTTTAGCATATGTAGACCATACCTACAACTCGCAAGGCTACAAGGCTACAATCCATGGATCTTTACGACCTTACGTGAGTGAAATTGAAGATTAATGGTTCGTTTTTCAAGATCGGAGTGAGGTAGGAACAGAAAAATGAGTGAATTAGCTCATCACTAAATAGGATTAAAAGATGCCTAAAAATTAAAAAAAATGGCAGTAGAAGTTTGAAAACTCCCAGAATAAGATTATTTTTATGATTGGACATAAATGCCCCACCCCTAGCCAGTGTTACCATCTGCCGCTTGCAACCAATACCAACCACCAGACTTCGTCTGCCGCCCAAATTCTGGTTGGTGTTTCTGATCACCGGAGCTTTGGCAGGGCAAAAAATCCAGATTCTCCCGAGCCGCCTGCCACCACATGTCACCGGAAGTCCGCTGATTGCCGCCCCATTGCCGATCACCGTCACCGCCGGTCACCTCTTCCACCAACGGTCTGCCCTAGTGCCCAAGGAAACGAGAGACAATTAGTCTATTAGAATAGGGGTATTAAACATAGAAAATTAGAGCTCATTTGATAACACTAAAATTAGCTATAGAGGGCTAATTCTGTTGAATTTTATAAAGTTCTGGTTGAAGTGTCATGATTTGCCGATTGTGCTCATTTATGTAAAAATTATATTTAAAATATATTTTATTAATAAAGTAATGAAAAAATTATATGAAAAATAGTTAAAATAGTCAGCCAGTACAGCCTGAAAAGTAACATCTTCCATTTTCTAATTGTTACACAACTCAGCGCGCAAAACAAAAAAGTACTCCCTATGTGTTTAGTGAAAAAAATTGTAGATAAGCCTCATTAGTCATGGACCCGGGCCGGGCCGGTTTCAGGCCGGGCCCGACCGGGTATTTTTTTGAGAAGGAAGAACCAGAACCAGCCCGGGTAGGCAGCGGTTCTGGGCCAGACCGGGCCGGTTCATATTATTTTTTTAATTTCTTTTGCTTTTCTTATTAACCCCCGACCCCCCACCCTCACCCCAACCCCCCCACCCCCCAAAACACCCAGACCAAACCGGGAGAAACCAAAAAAATTGAAAAAAAAAAAAAAGAAATCGGCCGGGCCAGTTCCACTTTTAGGAGGCCCGAGACCGGCCCGATTAATTCTGGGTTCGGGTGGCCCGGACCGGTCCTATAACCGGGTACCGGGCCGGACCCAAACAGTACCGGTTCTGACGTTTATTGCAAAATTAAAGAACAAAAATCATTAACCCTGCACACATGAAACGTTCACTTGAAAATTGGCCAATAATATCTCCGGAGGAGGGTGGAGAGTTATGCCAGTATTTTACGAAATTAAAGCAGTTTTTCTTGATACATTTCCCGAATCTTCACGAATTGAACCTTTGAATCAAAATGCACATTAACCTCGGTTTTCTAGGAGAGTGTCCCGTACTATACATAGACAAGTCTTAACCAATCAAATCCGTGTGAGCAATATGGCCATTGAAATTCTGTAGTCTATATGGTCTACATACTAGCAAAAAAAGGAACTGATTTCTCAATAGATTACCTAATATTGCCTCTGGACTCACCAAAACAGAGTAAGCAAAAGAACAAGGATGGACAACTATTGACAGATCATATCACTCCCATCTAAGTCAAGTGCAGCTAAAAGCCTTCAGATTTCCTACCCTTTGAAAGATAGTTTAGGCGGTAACTAATGAGCGACGGCCCAAGAGTGCTAAATTTATCAGCGTTACTAAAAGCAGATTCAGCATCAGCTCTCTTCTTGAACACAACTTTTGCACTCTTCCTCTTCTTACCTTTTGCTTCCGTCAACAACTCATCCAGAGGACCAAACCTACTGAATGTCTTGTTGAGTTCCCCTCCTAAAGGTACGGAGTCCGAGTCTCGAAAGTTAAGAATCAGTGCCGTCGGGGAGGATTCATGCTCCGCATCTCCCTCCCCCACTGTACCAGATGGATCCTCAGAGTCACACTCCATATCTACATGTCCTGAAGGTTCTTCAGATTCTCCTGACCCTTTTTCATGTCCTCTGAAATCGGAAAGTTTCAGAAATGAATCCCTAAAATCAATGAAAAAACTAAAAAACGGGCCCACCAAGGTATTACTGTTCATGGGATCTGTTGCAGTAGACGAGAGCTTTGAGAGAACCTCATTTAATGGAGGGAGCTCTGTATGAGACTTGAGAACTGGATTTGATCCACCAAGTTGAATTGCAGCCCTCTGTATTCGTTCTCCTATCCCAAAGAGTAGCTTCTTAGGAGACAGTTTGGACTCATTATTACCACCATTTGGTTGTTTGAACTTTTTTATTACTGGCTTCACTTCTATTTGGTCATTTTCTTTCCTCTTTTTAAAATTACCAGAAGAAAGGATAGTTTTTTTCCTGCAACTTTTCTCCGATTTCAGTTTCTTCTGTAGACACTCATTATCCTCAGAGTACTGGTTTTGTTCCACAGTCAAACTTGGAGTTCCCAACATGTTATCATTGATATCCATCAGCTCGCCACATTCTCTAATTGTTGCCAGCTCGTCGTAACCCTTCCAACGATTGAAAGCTAGCAGCTGAGCCTTTGTCACCACAAACCCTAGCCTGTTAGCACAACCACCACCATCATTGCACAGGGTTGTTGCTAATGACTTCAAATGATGAATAAGCAATTCAGGGTCAAAAGAGCTGCTGGTTGATAGGTCATCGCTACCATCTCGTTGAGAGGATTCCTTTCGGACTCCCCGGTTAACTACAGTCTGAGTTTTAATTTTGGTTAACACCTCATTTGGCAAACAAGGGCAAGAGAGACCTAACTCAACCCTCCTAGAGACCTCATCCAATGCAGAACCCAATGCCTGACAGAAGATTTCTGAATTTGACTGTTTTTCCAGTTGATCAAAGTGGATCCTAAAAGGTTTTATACGGGAAGCATCGTTCCATGCAAATGTATGGTCCCCAAAATAGGCTATCAGGTAGTTGTCAATCTTGCAATGCTTCTTCGCTTTCCGAGATGCGGCGGAAGGTTCAAATATCTGCCCTGGCCACCATGGATGACCACTCACCTTTCCCCATACTAAATCATTCACCTTATACTCTGTTTTAAATTCCTGCACACATTCTTTCACATCAAGAGTTTCATGTTCCACATATTTTCCATCACTTGCCATTTCTTCACCCCCCTTTAATCCAGAATTTTCTACACAAGTTCCAGTATCACTCATAGGCTTGACTGATTCAGATCCATTTTCCTCATCTAAATGATCAGTACTATTCCTAGACACTGAAACGTTCTCAGATTTCAAGTGAACAGCTTCCAAGTTCGCAGACATCAAGAACCCTAACCATAGCAGAGATAATCGCACATGCATAATAAGCACATATACACGTATACGCAGAAGAGAAGTGATGTACAAATATCATTAAGCGCATATGAAAATAATACTCCGTATTAATGATAGTAAGATAGAGAGAGGGTGAGAAGAAGGATTTTACCTGACTCAGACCGAATAGGAAATGACTTAAATTATCTTCGACTTAAAGAGAGCGTTAAGATTAATTGTGGAATCTAACTGACGAGTTAGGGTTTCAGCGTCGGAAATGGCGGCGAACAGCAGCGCGAATTCAGTAAACAAAAACAGACGGGACCGCCAGTGTTCGCGGAGGAGGACCGAATGGCGAGTTGCCTGATGGACTGTGAAAGAGGCCGGACCAGAATAAGCGGGGCGGGCAACTTCCCGATTTTTAACATTGACCCAAGTTAGCTAAAGTCTACATTTGAGTAGTATCCTACATGTAGCATAAGAGAGATAGATACAAAAATTGAATTTATAATATTTTTCTTTCATTCTTTTCCCGGTTTTATGTGTTTTTGGTAAGTTTTCCTCTGCAATGTAAAGCACAATATCTACATCTAGACATTGTGAAGAAAAAACTTACTAAAATGATACAAGATCCTTCAATTAACAACAAAGATATTATATTTATTATTTTTTAATTGGCTATCTCTCATGTCACGTATGCACTGTTCACGTTTTAGCATTGGAGATGCTCTTATTGAATTGAGTTTTTATTTGTTCTATTGATTTGGTAGGGTGTACTCTCGTGTATATTTTGTGACCATTTCTGAGGCAATTTCTAGTTGTAAACATAGTTCCGAGCTGTAAAGGCAGCAAGAACCCAATTTGATTTGGTTTTTACAAATGATGTATTAGTTGTTAATAGTTCAATTTCAAGTGATTAGTAACGGTTCGATTTCTGATTCGTATAAAAAATATGTGCACAGAACCGTTAAGGAACCATTATTTAAAAGTGAAATAAAAATAAAAATAAAAAATTGTAAAGATAATAATAATAATAATAATATCAACTATAACCACCACAACAACAACAATAGCACAATCAATGATATTTAGCTAACATTCTAATTTAACCGATGAAAATAAAATTAATCAATATTGCACATGTACGGTAAGCTCATTTTTAGAAATCAAGTTTTGTTCTATTACATAACTTTATAGATGTAAAATAACTCGAATAACTTGTAGTTGATTGCACGTACTTTACTATTTTCATGATATATGTAACTACTAGATTTATTATAAATTATGCTACTCCATACTTCTAAGTACACAATGCAATGATGTTTGTATGTCTTACATGATTGAATGTATTTTTTTAAGTGTTGAAAGACTTGAAGGGGGTGTCCAATCTTGCTACTTTGATGATGAACAATCTTCATTGCTATCACATAATAACGACTTTTATGTTTTATTTATTTAATAATATCGTACTACTATGATGATGAACAATCTTCATTGGTACCACATAATAACGACTTTTATGTTTTATTTATTTAATAATATCGTACTACTATGATGATGAACAACCTTCATTGGTACCACATAATAACGACTTTTATGTTTCATTTATTTACTAATAATTGAAATCTGTTTAGTGTCCACTTAGTTAAGTTTGACGTTAGGAGTGATCAAATATTCAAATAAAAAATTGATGCTTGTGTTTTGAATTTTTTACATTTTTACATATCAATTTTATTGGTTTCTTTTCTCTCGCTTAGATAAGGAAAAAATTATTCCAATGACTCATGATTTTTTATATAGGAATCATTTCATTAGTTCAAAATTTTAGAACAACTCCACTAATTTTGTATTACCACACCGATCCAAGGTCACATTTTTGTAAATAACATTTATTTTAATTACTAATATGTAATTATTTCCTTACCTAATAGAGTATTTCGTAAGCCAAGGTCACATTTTTGTAAATAACATTTATTTTAATTACTAATATGTAATTATTTCCTTACCTAATAGAGTATTTCGTTAGCCAAATGATTGAAAAGAAGATTGCTTTATGAGGTATTTTGGTCTGCCAAAAAGGTGTAAACTGGAGTTCGTCGAGAGTAAAATTCGAACAAACGTGTGCAGGATTGCATACTATTATTCGATTAGTATGACTGAACAAGAATGTAACAAAGTTCACCCAACCATAATCACGCAATAAATGAATAATATTATATTGAGGATTTGTGTGTGTGTGTGTGTGTGTGTGTATATATATATATATATATATATATATATAAGAAATTGGATTTGACCGGTATAGAATAATGATGGAGTTGTAACTTGCTAGTGTAGAAAAATAAAGGCAAACAGAATGCTTGGACAGTTGGTTGGACATGAACGATCATGCTAAGTATGTTTAATACATTAGATGAATGTGTCAACACTACTAACTTTACAAACCTTAACAAATCATAGAGCTTTGACATATGAGAGTAGAAAGATGAATGAATCGTGCAAAAAAGCATATAGATACATGTTTAACCGCCCCAGCCAAATGGGCTCTCGTGGACAGTCAACCGGACACAATACCGACCCTCCTTCCAGCCACTTGTTCACTCCAAGCCTGGCATTGGAACCCTCATATGTTGACCCTGTGAAGCAAAGGAATACCATGAATCATTTGAAAACACTGCCCTATGTTTATGTTGTTTGAAGCTTTTTTAGCTATAAAAGGTAATAAATGTGATTCATTTGCTGTATGTAAGGAGTTGTTCATTTGTTCAAATATAGAAAATAGCAAGTCGAAAGTCATATCAATAAATATTACCGAGTAGTTTATTAGTTTGCAAGTCATTAAATTATCAATCCAACTCTTGCACTTCCTACTGATAAAGTAAAAAAGATGAAGCTGAACTTTAATACTTCATTCAGAGTATTATATATAGTGAAGCAGGATTCACCTTGCAAGATAAAACTAAAACAAACTGTATGGGAATTAAACTAAAGAAAATCATCATTTAGATTGCTTGTAATACACAAACTAGGTGCATACCCCACAAGAAGAGGAGATTACCTGAGAGTTATCATAGCTTATTCCTTGTGAAAATGAATTTTGATGCAATAGCTGCAGTAAGGTGTCGGGGTAAAGTAGTGTTCTTTAAGTGAGTGAAAGGAGGAGCAAACATATGGGAATAAGACAGTACTTGAGAATTAGGGATATGGTGTACTCCATCTCTTCGGGTAGAACCTTCAGCAGCCTTTACAGATCCCTTGGTGTCACCCTAAAGTAATGTTTAAAATAAAAATAAAATCAGTTAAGCGAGAGAAAAGATACCAATAAAACTGATACAGCAACCACAACATCAAAGCCTTATAAGTATTAAAAACATGGCAAGGCGTACCTCCATCTGCAACATCCATTGATTGAGCAGGGGGAAGTTGCAAACAAAAATACAGTAAAAAGAAAAATTTTATCAGCTTAAAGTCCATGGTAAAGATAAATATGCACAGGTTTGTTTAATTCAAAATTCATAATTACCTCTCTATACCGAGAGAGGTATAGCCTGAGAGGTTCAATATAGTCCTCAAATCCTAATGTTGCCATCGCCCAGAGCAGATCATCACCATTAATCGTTTTCCTTTTCTCTTTCTGACACTTATCACTCGCCCTTGACAATCAGGAATGATAGACAACTTTTATATTAATAAACAAAAATGATTAAGCATGTGTTGTGTATCATGAAAAAGAACTAAGTTTTACACTACCAAGCATGGCAAATTCATCAGAGTTTCAATGTAAAAGAATGCAAGCATTCACATAATGAGACTAAAAAATAAAACGAAAGAGTGAAACGATAACCCAGCACAAAACCCATGTGTTTATCATGATCATAAACCAATAACTAGAAATATACATTCTTTTTTGAAACGAAAACAGCAGAGAAAATAAAAGCATTTCAGGGAAGAATGGCACATACTCGCTGGTGACGAAGCTTATGAACTCGGAGACGCATTCCTGAACAGTATCCTTCGCGTCCTTTGCAATTTTACCGTTCGAAGGGAGAGCCTTCTTCATGATCCGGCTGATATTGGCGATGGGAAGAAACCTGTCCTGTTCCCGAACATTTGACCTCGGACTACGATCCCCACTCTCGTGGCTGCGTCCGCCTGGACTCGTCGGCTGCTGCGACGATGCATGCCCGTCGGCCATTACCGCAGCGGAAAGCCTAGCCAAAGCTCAAATGCATCAATAAAGAAGTCATTTAACCTCTGTCTTTGTACCCTAGAACATCGAGGAAACAAACCTACCTCCACCATAGCTACAGAAAGATAGAAGTCCAGATTTGTGCGTGAAAGTGTCGAGAGAAATGGAGGGAAATTCGAGCTAGAACAGAATTACCTGAGGATTTGAGAATTTGTATTTGGGCGCGAGGGAGTGGAGGGCGAATGGAAGCGGCGAGATCAGATGAATGGGAGATCGGACGCTGGAGAAGAGACGACGGAGGAGACGCCTGAGATGCGAGATAGGTGTTGTGGTTAGGTTTATCGGCACCGTTGGTTGTCAATGACTCCCGGGTTTAGCTAAGTGGGCCACTCCGTTTTTGTCCAAAAGAACTCCCGGGTCGTTTTTGTTCAAACGTACAAAAGTTAGACGGGCCATGTCTAGAAAGTTAAATGAGTTCGGGAACACTATTTTTCAGTTTATTATGTTTATTATGTTTATCAGTCAATTTTTTCGCCATACATGTAACATTTGTTATCACGCGTTGAATTGTGTAATAAGCAGAATAATTAAGGTTGGACTTACTTTTCTGACTATATTGGCTGAAGCTACTGCAGATGATCATTTTAGCTATTTTTACATATAACTTTTTCTTTATTTTTTTAATAAAATATATTTTAAAAATAATTGTTTCCTAAATCAGTAGAATCAGCCAATGTAACCACTTCAACCAGAACTTCATAAATTTTAGCAGAATCAGTCATATAAGCCGATTTTCGTGCTATCAAACAGACTCTGAATCTCCTTTACTGTTTGAATGTAGGTAGACTAGAAATTCAAATTATGTACTCCGTATCATATTTTAAAGGGATAAGGGTAAGACAGGGCCTCGAACTTTGAAAAAATGTCAAATAAGGCCATATTTAGGATGCTATGTCTGGCTGACGTCATTTGGGGCGATTCCCGCTGGAATTTTTTGAGAATCTTATTCATTAAGTCTAGTTTACTCATATCAAATTTGAATTTAAAATTCAATCGGGAAGGCATTCAAATGAATTCTTGAAGATAACTGCGCTTTTAACTGCACAGTTATTTTCAAGAATTCATTTGAATGCCTTCCCGATTGAAGTTTTAGTTCAAATTTGATATGAGTAAACTAGACTTAATGAATAAGATTCTCAAAAAATTTCATCAAAAAAATCTACCGGGAACTGCCCCAAATGGCATCGGCCGGACAGAGCATCTTAAATATGGCCTTATTTGACATTTTTTTCAAGTTCGAGGCCCTATCTGATCCTTATCCCTATTTTAAATCATATTAGTCACAATTATTTGTTTTTATTGTTTTTATTCAATGCTAAATGTAAGTAAATAACTTTTATAAACATGATGAGATGATCTTCCATTATTCATTCGCATGATTATTGACAAAATACATTATTACTTTGTGACTAATCTTTCTATAATACTAGCTTAAAGTGGTAACTTTTTATAAGTTGTCATGTAAATAAGTTGCCACAGTGTTAATTGATAATAGGTGTTAAGTAGGCATGGACCCGGTTCGGGCCGCCCGGCCTGGGACCGGCCCGGCCCGCCACTGTGCGAGCCCGGAACCGGCCCGGTTCTCGGGTCCGGGTCCGGGTCGGGCCTAGGCCCGGTGGGGTGGGCGGGTCCGGGCTCGGGCCTTGAATTTGGCGAACCGGCCCGGCCGGGTCGGGCCCGGGCCCGGGCCTAATTGATTTTTTATTTATTTATTTTTTCTTTTTTTGGGGTTAGCCAAGTTGGGCTTGATGGTTAGGAGGGGTTTGGGGGGTGGGGGGTGAGTGGGGGGGGGGGGTTAGGAAAGCAAAAAAAAAATAAAAAAAAAATAAAAAATTATGACCGAACCGGACCCGGTGGCCACCCGGGCTGGTCCCGGGCCTTCCTTCCCAAAAAAAAGCCCAGCCGGGCCCGGCCCGGAACCGGAACCGGCCCGGCCCGGGTCCATGACTAGTTTTAAGGTTTAGCCCTGCAGATCCGAAAGTCTAACACCAAATTTGGATGTTATGGACGCTGGTTAAATGTAAAAGGTATAGAAAATATAAAATCTAAATCAATTTGCACTCAAAAGCCCACTTGTATTAGGGTAATAATGCTGATTACACGAAAGAAGCCGAACGGCACTTCGATTCTATTACTAATACAAGAACTATAGAGATAGTCCGAAGCTCTAAATACTAAAATGCTAACCCCTCATAATGAACTAAATGCCTCTATTTATACTAGAAAAGGGGTAGGTGGGGCGATGATGTGGCCGAATCTGGTTGGTTGCTCTCTTTGCCGCTTGTGCACTCATGCCTCCACTTGCTACCGTCATACTCTAGCAATATATGCATCTTGTCACTTGCGGACTCCCCAATCGGTCTCTGGACTCCTGAGGCTAATGGACAAAGCTAATGTTTATTATTTGTTCCAAGCATGATAATTGGACCGTTCGGGGTCATATCGAACGGTGTCACCTTTGATGGTTGATAACCCGTTTGGGGTCCCCTAAGTTTGTTCCAGGTTTCCCTTTGGGCTTGCTCTCTATCTTGGACCCTTATCTATTCTGGACCGGGTATTGGATCGGAGACCAATATCATGATCCCAACAATAGGTATGCTAGAATATACTTCGTATATATATAGAGTTCGTATGGTGATTTGTGACTAATTCGTGTGTACATATATATGTAATTTAGGTAATTCTTAAAAAAAAAATAGCAGGTAATTACACACTATTATTATTACATACATTGAAGTTGTGTTGAACCGCATTATTATAAGATATAAAATTAATCATTGGGGATATTCTATTACTCCGTATATTTTTTAATGGTTTAATGGTTTTAGTCAAAGGTGTAGATTTATAAGTTCGAAATGTTATGCATTACATAGACAATTAGTAACAATATAATTTAGTGCTTGTACGCTTTCACGTCATTATATTACGGAGTATCTCTTATTACTAGCTTGGACGCGCGTTGCGCGACGAATGATGCCCAACGATGGAGAAATAAACGAGAAGCGGGTTTGAAGCTTTAGCGACCTGCATGGATAATGAATAAACTTTGGTTGAACCGTTCTCACATGCATAGTGAACAATGTATATGTACGGAACACACTAATTTGATGGGCAAAGAGAGGATGTTCCGGCTGGATGTGTCAATTACATGAAAGCAGTCTGCAAGCACCGCAGATATGATGGCCCTAACTTAAAGTTTAGTTTACATGTCATAGTAAAAAATGGGACCTACAACCATTCAAAGTATCGATTCAGCTGCATACATCTAACCAAGATTAGAGTTGGCAGTATGGACTACTGAGTCAAATGAAGAAACAAATTTACCCCTTCATAGTTAACATGAGCCTTTTGAAGAAGGTTTGAGTCAGCAGAGTCTTTAGTACCCTCCAAGTGTTTCAGAGCTACCTCTCTGTAATCCCGGAAGGTCTTGAAAGCGAGAAAGCAACGTTGTTACTCAAGTAGAAAATTCGTGTGATACTAATGTTTTAACTTAGTTTTTAAAATTTAACAGGACGTAAAACATAAACAAATTGTTATCAATCATGACCCACATGCACATGTTCCCTCTACTTCAAAGGATTAACATCCTAGATTTCCAAATGAGTCAAAAAGTCGTCTAATTTATAATACTCTAACATGCTTTAGTGCTACTTGAACAACATCAAACAGGGAAGAACATGAAGCAATGAAAAGACAAATGTTTTTATAATTTAAGAGGGAGACATTTTAAAGCAATAACATTGCATCCTTCTAAGCTGTAGCAAAAGAATCGTGTAAGTTATAGCAAAACGAATGGACTTTACTGAGCTAAAGTAGAATTAACATCATGGTCAAAGTTATTTTTAGTGGATGAAAGCACAAATAAGAAAATCTATTATTAAGGGAAATCTATTTTTAGGGAAATCTATTATTTTTAGTGAATAAAAGGGAAATCTATAGTTAAGAATCAAGTGCCAAAGTGAAGTGCAGGATGATAATAAAGAGAATATTATCTCTTAAGCAAAGAACAAATAGGGAAAATAGGGATTGACTCATTATTCTCAATTAAACAGTATTTTTGGGTACCATTGATAAATCTCTTTCAGTTGATAAGGTCCAACATGTGGATCTTCACACTGTAAGTACTAGATTTTCACCCGTGCGATGCACGGGATAAAATTCATTCAAATTATGTAAAGTGCATCAATGGTCAAGAATAGTATCAAAGATTGATAAAATTATAATAATTAGAATAAAAGTACAATAATAAAAATATAAAAATAATGACAAAATAGTGGTGATAAAGATTAATAATTATCAGTCTCGATTGCCCATATTTTTATAAATCTATGTGTAGAACATCATTCAGTTTTATGTGATTCTTTTCTAATTTATAGACCTAAACTTATTTTCCAACATCGATAAGTGTCCTTATTCGTTTATTCCAAATGTATCAATGTTTATTTTGTCGAGTGCATGCTATATTATTGTGTTCAACATTGCTGTACTAATGATTGGAACAGTTACAATGGTTGATCAATAATCAAAGAATCTCTAAATTGTCTACTTTTTCTCATGTTTTGGGTATTTACTTAATGTGTTTGCTTTTCATTTTATTCTTTTTTGAACTATTATGAATTACTGGATAAATATTAACAAAAAAATATTCTAACCATGCATCACATAGCTTTCATGTTTAAAAAATCAACCGGACCGGTCGTATAGACCCGAAAACCTGTGACCCAGATTAAAAGCCGATTTGGGTGGTCAAAAACCTGGAATTGACCAAAACCTAACTCGAGTGGTTAAACTAAATAAATTGCAACTTCAATATCCTAAATCGAAAAAAATATGTGATGAATTTATATATGTGTTAAAGAAAGGAACTTCTATCAAATTACATTATAATGTACAATACAAATAGCAAATTACATTATTTATTCTAAAGCCTAATGAGACCAAAATTATATTTGAAATATTATACTACGTAAGTATTTTAAATGCTTACCCACTATTATCATTAGTTTATCGTTACGAATATAATTATTTTCTAATTTAGTTTTACATATAATTATATGTTTAGTATTATATAAATTTTGTCCGGTTTTCTAGTGCTGACCCACTTCGGTCCAGGTTGGCCCACCAGGTCCGGATTGACTCATGCATCGCTTATGTGAGCGGATCGCTTCCCAATCCAGTTTTTACAACATAACAAAACACCCCTTTAAATTAAGAGACATGTGTTAACTCAACAAAAAAAAAAACATTTTCTTGCAAATTTAAACCCAACAACCCCATTTTAATTTGTACTCCGTATAATTTAAAATGTATAAAGAATTTCAATTAAATGAATGCAAGCCAATAAATTTGGACCCTACCCAG